GGTCGCACATCCGGGATTTTCCGTGACGCCGCGCGCCGGCTGGCGAGAAAACAATCCAATACTGAGATGTTTACATCCGGGTTAACATCCGCTTATATTACGCAGCGCTGTTCACAGTCAGAAGGCTTCGGCCTGTGTATCGCGTCGTTTTTCAGAGGTTTTCAGACGATCTGACAGTCATTTTCATGCGAATATATTGTATTGAAAACCGGTATTCGGCCAAAATTTCGATTTCACGGCCAAGCAAGATTCACGACCAAGCAAGATTTCATACAGCCAAATTTCCGGCCAAATATATTTGGCCGGAGACATGATTTTTTTCACGGCCAAACAGATTTTTATACGGCCAGATTTCTCGAATTTGGCCAGAAAAACGGCCAGATGGCAACCCTGGAAATTACCAGTTCGGCCGAACGATAGCATTTTTTACTACCGGTTCGCTTAAACCAGGCCAAACCGGTGGAATCCCACCACTGTTCTGAGAAGTAAAATATCAATGGGGAAGTAAGATTCGTTTAACAATTGTGTTCCTAACTTATCAACGGCGGTGATGCACTTAACAATGGCGCCAAGAAAGGTTGTAAAATGGGGCACAATTCTCTTAACAAACGTAGCAATGGAACTTTTGGGTCGTAAGTCGAGGACTACCTGTAACGTGCTTTTGAATGTCACATTTGTTGTTGTGGTGCCTCCAGAAGGTTGTGGTTTGCCGGCCCTGCCCTGTGAGTCATTCCTGGATGCCTGCAAGACACGTAGCTTGGACATGTTGTGTTGTATCCCGGCTGTTGCTGGGGAAGTTGGAAAGTCACAAATTTGGCACCTCCGCAAGAGACAGAGGCTGATGGCACAGGGAGGTCAAGAGTTCTGGCTTGGCTCCTTCTGGTACAGGTAGTCTTCGACTTACCACAGTTTGCTTAGAGACCATTCAAAGTTACAACGGCACGGGGAAAAATGTGTCTTACAGCCGTTTTTCACACTTTGTTGTGGTTAGCCAGCAGCAGGTGCAGACGGCTGAGGAGAGCGAGGACTCAGATGAGGGGCCAGGGCCATTGGGGAGTGGACTGCTCCCTTCAGAGATTGTGGGGGCTGGCAGCAGTGATGAGGAGGTTCCCGAGGAGCCTGTGCCAAGTGTGTGCAGGATTGCTCGTAGGAAAGAGCAGTTACAACAGCACGGGCGACTCAGGAGTAAGGCTGCAAAGTAATGGCCCCTCCTTCAAGAAGATCAAAGCCAGCTGTGAACCAGACGTTCTTTGCAGGAAGCAAAGACATTTTGAAACTCAGCCTTGTGGACATTGCAGTATCTTAAGTTGGTATTTGAAGACTCTTGTGTTGTAAAATATTTCTTATCTGTTATTCTTGGCAGCCTCGCACAGTTTTGGCGAGGCTTGTGCTTATCAAAGTTAATTAGTTTGCTGCAGCCTTTTAACCAGGGATTTGTAAGAATCATTAAAAGGTTTCTGTTTCCTTTGGTTCGTGTTTGTTTTATTGGACAAGGGTTTGGGTCAGAACACACTTACAACCATCGCAGCATCCTCATGGTTACGTGATTTACATTCGGATGCTTGATGACCGGTTCAGGTTTATGACAGTATGACAGTCGCAATGTCCTGGGATCCAATGACCATTTTTCACACTTGCGCCCGTTGCAGCTCCCCCCCCCCCCCACAATCACACGATCCAAATTTAGACACTTGGCAACCGACTCATATATATGATGGGTTGCAGTGTTCCCGTGTGTGTGTATGTGTCACGTTATCCTCTTCGGTAACTTTCTGACAAGCCAGGGGGAAGCCAAATTCACTTAACAACTACGTTGCTAACTTAGCAGCTGCAGCGATTCACTTAACAATGGTTGCAAGGAAGGAAGGTTGCAAAACAAGCCAAACTCACTCAACGTCTCACTTAGCCAGGGAAATTCAGAACTCCATCTGTGGACGTCAGTTGAGGACTGCCTGTTCTGTCTCTTTTCCAATGGACTACACCACCTATCTTCCCCTGCCTGGTCGCCAGAGGGCCGAGGAGATGCATTTCTCTGCTCCAACCCACCGTTTGGAGAAAATCCTTCCCTGCTTGGCTAAAACTCAGGTCGAGCCCTTTAAATGATAAAGGCAACGTTAGTATTAGTTAGAAGACCAATTATTAATTTTATAGCTCTTCCTACCGCGAAGGAGAAACTGAAGATCCCTGGGAGAATTTGCAGGCTGGACGGGGGAGCATTTATTGCCACTCGATCCCGACTGCCTTTTTAATTGCTTTTAAACATTTTATGTTCCTTCTCTTGGTGGGAGTCCCCAGCGGTTGGTCTGGCTCAAAGAGCTGGTTTAATCTGGAGACAGACCCCCTCCCCGCCAAAAATCCAGCCTTTCCTAGCTTTCCCTGACCGGCTGGACTACAGGTGCCATCATTCCTAGACGGGGTGAACAGAGCAGAGCTCTGCAGGTAGTAAGGGATGAGTTAAGAAAACGTGAAAAAGCAGGATCCGAGCTATTTCAAACCCAGCGAACTGCATTCACGCAACATGCTAATCTTAATTACTTTTTTTATTTCCTGAATCAATTCAAACCGGCCCAGTTAGTGGTCTGATTTATTGAGCTGAGCTAGAAATTATTTTTGCTAGATTAACCAGGTACCTAATTAAGCAGTCGTACTTTAGGAAATGACCTCAGAGGTCATCTAGCTCAACCCCCTAATCCAAAATTTCTCAGCCTGCATAACTTCAAGATGGCTTGAACTTCAGCTTGCAGCTGGGGAACTCTGGGAGGTGACGTCTAGCTATCTTGACTTTGGCCAGGTTGAGAAACACTGTCCAGGTAATCCTCCACTTACGACCATTCGCTTAATGACCATTCAAAATTACGATCGGGTGGGATTCTACTTGGTCGGACTGGTTCTATAGAACCGGTTGTTACGATTCTGTGCAGTTTGGAGAGAGAACTGGCAAATCGCGCCACTGGCTGGCCCTGCCACTCCCTGCCCCGCCCACTCACTCCTTACCTGGCATGCACGCCATCAAACTTGCCTGCGTTTGGTAAGTTGCTATTTTTCTTTTTTCTTTTCCCCGACCATCAGCTGTTCTGCTGTGCCAGGAGATTTAGATTAGCTAGAAAGCAGGAAATCGTTGGATTTCTTGCTTTCTAGCTAATCTAAAAGCAGAGCTGAACCTTCCTTAGGCCTGAAGCTTCTATTTTTCAGTGCAGACTCAGGTAGCCGATTGCAGAAAGATAGATCTCTGAGTGAACCTGTGATTCTGTGAGCAACTCAATCTGCCGGCCTGCTTTGCCTGATTTTGGGTAAAAGTTTCCTCAGTACGAGGAAATATGATAAGGACATTACATATTTAATAATTCATAGAATTACTGCAGGAAGATTGGCATACGCACCACAATGGAAAAGTAAAGACACTCCAAACGAATTTGAAATAATTAGGAAAATTTGGGTGTGTGCAGAAATGGACAAATTGACAAAGGAATTAAAAAATAAGGACGAATCGGACTATTATAAAATATGGGACAAGTTCTACGGTTGGTTAGAGAAGAGGAAGGACCAAGAGAATAAGGAATGACCCAATGTATATGTGTATATATAATATATATAGAATGAAAATATGTACTATTATTAGTGGATTTAGCAATGTAACGACAAAGATGGATGTTAGGAGAGGATTGTACCATGTTCAATATTTTTAATGTATTTTTTGTTTTTGCTTGTTTGTTTATTGTTTAATAAAGATTAAAAAAAATTTTTTTTTTTTTAAAAAAAACCCAATGTTAGCGTGAATTGGGTTAATATGAATGGAATTTAAATTCATTTAGATACTAGCTCGATACCCATGCTTCGCTGCGAAACGTATGTGGTCAGGCTTAGTTTTTTGGGAGGAAAATAAGGGAGGGAAAATTCTGCCTCTGCCTACTAGAATCCATCAGTATTCATCTGGTTAGCGTCCTGTCAGTGGGTGTGAGAGTTGAGGGCTGTTTGGAAACTGAAACAGTATTTGCTGTGTGAGCAAGAAGGAGAGAGCAAGGAGCCTGGGTGTGGCTCAGCTCAACTGTTGTGTAATAAAGCCGCTTGGTGCTGTGAAACTGAAACTGAAATTCCTCTCCTCTGCTTGTGTTTTGCATTTGGAACAGATTTCTTTTCAGGTGGGGAGGGAGAGTAGAACACCTTAGCATCAGAGCATAATAACAATAACAACAACAACAACAACAATAATAATAATAATAATAATATAGGAAATACTAACGCTCTGATGGTTGTTTCGAAAAATCCTTTCTTAGTGAGCCCCTAGAAGCCAAGAGGAACATATGTGCTAAATTTCAAGTTTGTAGGCTTTACGGTTCTGGAGATTTTGTGATGCGCGAGGGGTGTTTTGCAAATCTTATATAGAGAGAAGAAGAAAGGAGAAAGGAGAAAGGAGAAGAAGAAGAAGAAGAAGAAGAAGAAGAAGAAGAAGAAGAAGAAG